AGGTGTATTGGAAGGAACCTTGGGCGGTCTTGGCTACTTGATCCTTGTTGATCTGGACGATGTGTCCCTGTTCTTGAGCGGAGATGCCGTTCTCGGTTTCGTAACTGCAAGCATTAAAATATTAACATCTAAACAAGAAATAAAAATGAGTGAAATACTTACGCGTAGGTGTAAGAACCGTCTGGGTTGATGTCGGATTCTTGACGAAGGATCTGCACTTGGGAGTCATCTCCTTGGTATGGTTTGCGCAAATGCGAGACGTCGCATGAAACGGCGGCCAAAAGGCACACGGCTACGGTCTGCGCAAATACAAACATTTAAAATTACAATAATTCCGCAATTGCTTAAACAAACTTACCAATTTGAAGAACATGTTTGTGATGCGGTCAGTAGACGACTGTGATCATTGACTCATCTTCGCCTCAATTTATAGCTCCTAGCTTGTCAAATGTCAAGCAAAACCTGATTTTTTTCACTTTAATAAACCAACGCGTTACATAATATCAAATGATTTTTATTGAAGCAACGAACATTACTTTCGCGTTCAGTTTGTATTGCTTTAATATTTTGCTATCTTATATTAATTGTAAATCAATTAACACCCAATAAAATAAACTAATCTTATTGGAAATGCAATATTAAAATACGCTTCTATAGATAATTCCATTTAATATATAAATAGCATTAATATCTGTAATCTTTAGTTACCATACTTATTTTGTTAACTGATTTATTCACGTTGGCATTTAAGGAATTTTGCCTAACGGCGCTTTTTTATTCTTCTGATCTTTGCATTTCCAATGAAAATATTTCTACATACAAAAATGTAATTTAAAACGTCTGCGGTTTGTTTCGTCAATGATTTATTACGCTAACATTTATTTATTATATATTTATGGTATTTTAAAACGCTTGAGGATATTCTATTTAATTATAATAAAGATCACGTAGAATTTTGTTTTTCTAGAAATCATGCATGTCTTTCCGAATGTATCAAATTATATTGGATAATGCATCCACATATTCAGTAGGCGATTATATGCAAAGTTCCTCATAATTTGAATAACCGAAAGTGTTAATCAGATATTTCAGTTTTATTAAATGTAATTATATCTTTTTAAATAATATTTTTAAATAGCTTTCAATAGTTTTAAACAAATGTTATTAACATTCTTAAAATCATTCTTATTATTAAAAATAATCTGTAAAATATTTCATCACGTCCAAAATAATTGAAATTTTCTAAGATTTATATAAATAAAGTTTTATATAATGTAAAACTTCATGTATAAAATAATAATAACTGTATATAAAAATTTGTATTGGTTTGCTTAAATACGTTTAAACTTTTGTAATCGGTAATTCTTGACTACTTTTTATTATTTGCTTTATTTCTACTTAACGAAACAGTTTTTAAATAAAAAAATGTGATTGCTGAAACATTTTTGTAATAATCATAAATTACAAATTATTATATAATACTATGAAAAATGAACTAATTGGTATAAATGTTAAAAATTCCCAGGTGTATTTTATACTGTGTCACCGGGATTCATCCTTCAATATCTTCAATCGGTATAAACCAAGGGTTTAAGTGACCCCAGAGAAAATCAAAGAGATTCAATTCCTGTGACCGTAGGGACCAAGCTTATTGTCCTTCTCGATTTCTTTCTTTAACGATTCGTATAAGCAATATCCAATTTTTTTCGGTTATAGCTTATTATTTACATTCTACAGTAATTATAATTACAAAAAATAAAGTAGTAATGTATAATAATATTAGCAAATTGTGTTCATTGAAATTCAAAATATGCTTTTGAATAACAATTTATAAGCATAAGCAAGTTATTAAAAAAAATTGTCTGCAGTTTTTCCGCCTTCAAAAATATATATTTACAATATAATTTGCTCCAATGCGTGATTTTATAATGACGGTATGACTTTAATAATTTTTAATTTACTAATATTCATAACATTTTGTGTTACTTTGATTTTTCAGTTAAAAAATTGATCAAACAACAATTTCTCATAAATTATTGTAACCTACTTTTTTTTTTAATATTATTTCACCTTTTATTTTATATAATATGTGTCAAATAAAATATTTTTAAAATGCGTTTATTCACTGAAATTGTCATAATTTAATGTAGGTGAAATATTTCTACATTTTTTTTAATTTTATTTAAAATTGTATTAAATATATATATTGCAAATATAATTATTAAATAAATGTACATTTATTTTATAATTAATTTCATTTATAATGTTGCAAATAGTAATTGCATGTTTCCAACAACATTTTTATGTTACCAGTTGCAAATGAAGTTATTTGTAAAATGTACAATTATAGTAAAAACGGTTAGATATATTTATAATTAATACTTGAACAAAAACGCAATATGATTTAGCTGGATATAATGTAGCAAAAATCATTAAATATTATTAACTTGAACAATTTAGCTATTTTTTTTATGAATAAATAGAAAAAAATATGAAAACTTAAAATTTACATTAAATATAATAATAACATTTCTTGTAATAGATATACAAAAGTAAACAAAAATTATGGGATTTAGAATTTCTCTTTATGGACTTGAGCAATGTATGAGATCAAAATAATAAAAATTTAAAAAAATCATCAAAACTTTGATTAATTTATGTTCATTATGACCGCCTAATATTGATATTAATTATTCCAAACAATAAAAATTAGTATTATACATTGATATGCATTTCTGCCCTTAATTATTATAAGTTAAAAAAAATCCTTTGCAGCATATAAATTTGATTTTATTCAAATTTTCTTATTATGTTGTTTTGTTGAGTTAGTTGTTGTTATTTTTTTCTATTAAATGTTATTATTATGTATAATTAAAATGTATAATGAAAGAAATTAGGTCAAAAAGAGTCTTTTGCAGTCACAATTGTAACTAAAGGGCTATCGCCCAGAGACACAATAAAATATAAATTGTCATAAAACAATCATACAAAAAAAATGGCGTTCTGAAAAATGTGAAACGTACATATGTAAATATAAAAAATATGAAATTATAAATAATCCAAATAAAAAGTAGAACTTCTTGAAATGAAACAAATAATATATTCTGAAGCATCATTCGGCTGAAAAATGATACAATTCGTCCGGACTATCCACCCTTCATGATGAAAAACCCGGCCGTCCCCTGATTCACATCCGTTGGAGACTCCCGCTCCGGTCATACACATCGAACATTAGAACATAAACATGATGTCCCGAAAAGCAGACGTGTGTTTCAATACTAAAGTTCTCTCGTCTTCTCGAGCACTGCAGCAACTCTGCGCCATTTTTTGTATTCTTTGGCGAGTTTAATTTGTTAAAATAAGTTGTAACTATGTGGTCATGTATTGTTATTGGCTTGCGAATTATGATGTCCTGAAGGTCTTTAGGTAGATCACTCGTCTTTTTATTAAGTGGCCTTACTTTGATGTTAGGTATACCCGGTATGGGTTTTGTTGGCCTCTTCGGACATTTGGAGCACCATGGAAAATTCTGATATATTAACCCTAAGATACACCAATGTTTTGACTTGGGGCGCCGCGGAAGATATCTGAAATATTAAGGACACTGAAAGTGTGGGAACCCCTGATTTAATGGATTATTCATCTAGACAAAATAAATTATATAATTTAATAATATAAATCTACAAATGGCAATAATTATTTATCTTCCCCATAACCATTTTATAATTGCTGAAAGCACTACTGTTGATGGTGTTTCAAAAATTACTATGATTAATAACAAATGTAAATATATATTTTTATTAATGATTATACAAATAATAGCAAATATAAGAAGAATAATAATTTTTATAGAAATTTATATAGTAATATAATATATTGCAATTATAATCATGAACTTGATTAAATTTAACGCTTAATTGTGATTAAATATATTTATTAACTTCTAATGGTTTTTATCTTTTAGTTATTGAAATACTAAAATCTGTTTGGAATTTTGGGTGTGCATTGAATAAAAAAGATTTTTTTTTGTCAATTACTTGTCATTTATTTATGTACAAAAGTCATAAATATTGTCAGTATCATTGTGAGTGAGCATTTAGAATTTGCGAACATGTTCAGGTTGTTGTGGGTGGGCAAGGATGTAGTCGATGGCCCTTTGGATGGCGGCTGGGACTGGTGGTGGAGTTGGGAGATCTCCTTGTGGTTGGTAACCGTTCTCATCAGCGACGTATTGGATGCTGATGGGTTGACCCTCGGGGGAGGTGTATTGGAAGGAACCTTGGGCGGTCTTGGCTACTTGATCCTTGTTGATCTGGACGATGTGTCCCTGTTCTTGAGCGGAGATACCGTTCTCAGTTTCATAACTGCAAGCATTAAAATATTAACATCTAAACAAGAAATACAAATTAGTAAAATGCTTACGCGTAGGTGTAAGAACCGTCTGGGTTGATGTCGGATTCTTGACGGAGGATCTGCACCTGGGAGTCCTGTCCCTGGTATGGTTTGCGCAAATGCGATACGTCGCAAGAGACGGCGGCCAAAAGGCACACGGCTACGGTCTGCACAAAAAAAATAAATTTCATTAAATGCATCAAATGAAAATAAGAAACTTACCAATTTGAACATTTTGGTTTATCTATCAGAAGACAACTGTGATCATTGACTCGTCTTCATCCAAATTTATACTCGCCGGACGATCCGTTTTGCATAATAGTATTATAAAAATTCTAACACATGTATATATTTTTTTACATAACTAATTTCTCTTTTTCGTTACTCGCAGAAGAAGATCGTTTGGGCTGCGGCCGAGGTCAGTCACTATAATATTTTTTTTCTTTCCCGGATGATTTCCAAATATCACCGAAATTACCGAGAATCGATGCAATCTGCTACGACCATCTGTATTTTACAATCATTCCGGCATTGAAATTAGTCAACTTATTTTTTGTGTGTGTGTGCATATATCAAAAAATGCAATTATACGATTTAAAATTAATTCACACGGATATATTATTGATTTATAAGTAACTTTTATTGTTGTGCATCATAAAATTATCTAACAGCAGCAAGTATCTATAATATCTCTATCTGCGCACAATGCATTTAAATTATTCAATATTGTTATTATTATCTAGACTTTAGATTGAAACAATATTTCGTGCAATTTCACAATTTAAAATAAAAAATAATGCATTTTGACTTAAAAAACAAATTTAATAGTATTTAATCATGTATACTCAGCAATTATAAAATATATCTTAACTCTTTGAATGGCCAGAAATTCCAAAACTTCTAGACCCAAGAAATTTCTAGACAACAGAATCAACATCAACCTTTGACATACCAACAAAATTAAAAGGTGATTCCTCTCTCCTGTACATTTCCTAGAAAATTATAATAATACCACATAAGGTTTCTTCAAACACGACCAATATAGGGACTAAATATATTCGCCCTAAAAATACTCTTACTTGTTACCAAGTTGGGTAAATCGTGTTTAGATCATTAAATAATGAACTAATTATAAGTTCTTCTTTTTGTAGTCTCTAATACTAAAAGTTGCATTTTTAATAGGTTGGGGGCCAACTCACATCTTCAGGTTCTTGAAGATATTTACGAATTGATTTTTTCAAAGCAAGGTATGATTTTTCTTCTTTGCCACTTTTTGCAACTTAACGATCTTACTTTTGAAAGGTACTGAAATGTCAATGTCTAAATGTGATTATGTAAAATAATTAAAAACCTTAGTAACTAAAATCTTTGAACCATTTTTTTTTCAATTCACGTTATACGATTTAGCATTAACATTTACATTTTAATATTTTCAAAAACCGTTTTTTAGATTTAAAAAAACTAGTTTTCGAATTTACAAAAGTTTTCACAAAATTCGGTTTTAAAAACCGAAAATCTCTATAACATAATAATTTTTACTTCACTTTGCTACTATATTAATTATATACATTTAACATTAAATTTTTATATTGGTCAATTATAAAATGTATTTATCTAAGTGAGATTACAAATATAAAACAGCAAAACCTCCAATAGTGCGGGTAATCAGTTCTGCTAATAGTCCGAACTTTTTGAAACCGCATAAAGATAAACTGCACAAAAAGAGACTTAACTGTATAAAGAAAAAAAAATCGATAATTTGTGTATCAAAAATATTTCGTGAGTTTTATTATTATTTTCAAACGTTATTATAAATAATCTGTACTATACGAGGTATTTCTGAATGTATAATATAGATTTGTATATTAAAACTAATTTAAAAAAAGGGCTTAGGTTTTCGTACATTCCAATTCAGTTCTAATATTGTATTTTTATCTTTCATTTCACTATTTTGCTGCAATTTACTTTACTGCAACTAACTGATTAATTTATTAAGGAACGTTAATGAGTTTTCGAAACTTTTGGCATAAGTAGAACAGCAAAATTCATGAACATCTCAACCCGATTGTACATAAATTTAAATTAATCTGAAAATTAGAATTCATGACTTTGCATATAATAGCGTTAACTATAGAAGTTCTATATTTTTATTCAAACTATACACGACTGTTTGATATCGCGCTAATCGAGAACTTTAAAACCGCAAAAAAAGAGACTAAATATTTAAAAAAATATATGTAAAAAATAATTTTGTGAAACTATTTTTTAATTTATTTTAAATTTACTTAATTAACATTTCATTTGTTTTAAAATTTTTAAACCGGACTATTGTAATCAAAATCGGACTGTACGAGGTATTGTTGTATATTTGTATAATAGAAATGAAGCATCAGTAATGAATAAAGTAATTTACAGATAATTGTTAAATATTTGATCATTGTTTTTTTATTATGTAATTTTTGTAAGAAATATGATAAAAAAAATGTAGTATAGACTTTCCATTTTCAAACGTAATCAAGATGTGAATTATGAAGAATATCCAAAGCACCTAATAAAGTATTTTACGAAATGATAAACCCAATTTTTGATATTAACTATAAAATTATATATAATACAAACGATATCATATAAGTTTTATCCAGCTGTGCAAGCTAAAACGAAATTACATTTGCAAAATTTACTGTAATCTGTTATTTAACCATCTTCGTTACGACATTTTTATTAAATTTTGATACTAATTACTTAATACTTGAAGTTACTTAATAATTAACAGTTTTTTTATATTAATTTCATATCTTTTCATAACAATAAATACTCCCATTTCTTGTTATACAGTTCATCTTTATTTTATAAGCATTTTTGGAGAAAATAATAATAACGTGAAAATATAAAAAAATACTAATTTATTTTAGAGAGATTTTATATTAAATTCATGTTGGAAATAATTTGAAAAGTAATTGCAAGGTATCGCTCATTTGTTTTTTTTGTTAAATAGGCTTCAAACTCGTACGAGGTAATAAAACAATATAATAATCCGGGATTTGCTAAACGTAGAGGAAACTCATTTGGAACGAATTTAATTAAGTATCAGGAATGCAGTCGTTATGAATAATTATGGGCGGGCATTTTTCCGAGGAAACATAGTTGGCACTGAGTTAATAATAAAACGGGGAAGTTGGAACAACGGTGGAAACAAAGGAAAAGTTTTTCTCTTCTCTTTGCTTTTGATTTTTCTCTTTCTATTTCTCAACAGGTTAATAATTCGGAACTAATTCCATTTCTTCTGCCAGAACCAGTCATCTTTATTTATAAGGAGTTCTTCAAATGCAATGCAAGCAGTTTTCCGCATTACTTATTCTTTTAAGAATCTTTTCTCTCCAATGAGCTTTTATTTAATTTTGAAGATACAAACGTAATTGCAAACCAGAATATAGAGTAGATTTCCCGAGCTAGAGAAAACAATTTAGAATTAATACTCGTATTTTTATTACCTCACTTCTACAGGTATTAACGAATCATTTGTTCAAAATATAATTATGGTTTTTCTACAGAACAAATATGAATTATTTCCAAAATGATGATAGATAAATGAAGTTTGGTGCAAAATTTAAATAGAAATGAAGTTATCCACAAGCTCAACAATAGGTTTTGAAAATGTCAATGAAGAGGATGTTTGAAAATTATTGAATGCAGAAGATGATGGTTTTTCAGTGGAAGATTTAGAAATCATTGTTGGCTAATGTAGAAAATAAAAACAAAACTAAAGAAGTTCATGTCGATTGCATGTTTACAGCCAAAAGCTTCAAAACGATGCTTTAATGCTAATGATCCTGATTTAGGTAAATTTATTTCATATAACTTTTCTTTGTTTGAACAAATCAGTTCTATTCGTTGTATTTTAACCATAGAGTCGAACCACATGCTTAGATTATGCTATACAATATGATTTTCATGACGTCATAAAGGTGCTTCCACCAGCTGAGAATAATTATGAAATAGTATTAATATCAGTATAGCATTGCTACTATTATTTTATATAACTTTTTTGGCACAATTTCAAACATTTAAAAATACATTAACGAAAATAGCCAATAGATTTTCGAAAATTTATATTCTTAACAAAATTTGTATTAGAAATGATTTAATATCTTTCTCTAGCGTTAATCAGAAGCGGTTTGTTTCTTAGTGTAACTAGGAATATTTTTGGGAGAAATAACTATAATAAAAGATTGAAATTCCAGGAAAATAGGCTTTATTTTATTGTCAGGTAAAGAGGCGAGGGTGAGGTCCTTCACTTTGAAGGTATACTTACAGCATACATCTTTCCATTGCTATCACGTAGATTATATATATATTTAAAATACTTCTTTGGAAATGTGCAAAATTTATTATTAACTCACTAATATATAAATTTCAGGTTTGCCGAATTCTGAAAAAATACTATTTTATTACTTTACGACTCGTCAATAGAATAACTTTCTGAATGTACAAGGTATATATAGGAACAGCATTTTTTCAAAAACAAGTTAGTTGTTCAGTAGCAAGTGAAGATGCAACACAACATGAATTTACCATCGACCTCTTACGGTGACAGATACAAAAGGAAACTCACGTTCTCATCAGAGGAAGAAACAAAGAATTTATATCTAACTACCACAAACAGGCCATCATGGAAGAAACTAAAGATCTCACCTGAAGAAGAACAAAAGGATTTTGGTACAACTACAACAATCATGCTATCAAGGAAAAAAATGTTTCTGGACTCTACCTATGAAGATAAAGGCGACAATCCAAGCAAAAAAGAAATATCTTCTTCTGTAAGTTTGCAGGAAGAAAATATCGAAAAGATGGAAGTAGAATGAATACCAGAAATAATTGAGATCGATTAAATGTAGATTTTAGTATTTTGTTTCTTTGTTATATTGTCTTCCCATATTGCATTGTATCTAGATTTGCTAAGTTTGTAAAGTTTATTCAACTCATTATGTAAATGATAACCATTTCGTATTATTTCCTTTCGCAATAATAAATAATAATTGCAGTTAAAAAATAAACAATAAAATACATTTACATCCTTCATGTGTTCTCATATATTTTATAGTTTTTATAAAAAATATTTCTAGAAGATTTAGTTTGAAATATTGTTGTGAAATATTGTTTTTAATTTTGAAGTTTAGTTTTCTAATTACAAATATTAAACATCAAATTGCTACACATTGTTTTATCTATTAAAT